TTTTATTATTATACATTTATACTTTAACAATGATTTTCACTATGACATAAAAGCACAGGTTATATCATATTAGAAATATTCTGGATATCTCATATTACGATTTCCTTACTATCATCAAATCTTCCTTACTATCATGCCTTACTATCATCAAGTCTAACTTCTGTAATTAAGCAATTCATATTCCGTATTTTTCTATTAGTACTATCTTACTCTATCACTACATGAAGAATTTATTACAAATATTTACTTTTTTATTAAATAATAAACTAGGTTTAAAGGTTCATCTCAATGAAACTTAGAAAAACGTCCAAATTCTAAAATATTTTTTTGCAATGACTAAGGCATGATCTAATAATGAATTTTTCACTAAATAATTTTCCAAGAGCAATAAATCCAAGAGAAATAAATTTATGGTGGGACCAATAGATAGCGTTTATTAGTTTAGCAAAGACGTCGTTATATTAGGCGCCTATCTTATAATAGGAGCCTTCCTCTCTATAAGTATCAATAATATTATACATATTTGTAAGTAGAACACGTTTTTTAATGTTATTATTTTCCAAGAATTAAAATAAAACCTTATCACATTTTATTATTATAACAATAATAAGTATTATAATATATAGTGTTTACCTATAAAATTATATATACGCATTTGTAGATTGGCTTAGTAGATCTCCTAACATCTTTAGGAATTACTCCTGATTACATGATTAGTCACTCTGCCAGTGAACTTGGTTGTGCATACGCAGATAAGTGCCTCACTATTGAACAAACTATTTTAACAGCATACTTTATTGGTTTGGCATGTGCCGATAAAAAAATAATTCATAGCTCGATGGTGGTTGTCAATACTAATTACGAGCATCTTAAAAATATATGTCCAGCGAATATTGAAATAATATGTTACAATAATGAGAACAGCAGTGTCGTATGTGGACCAAAGGAATCCATAGAAGGATTTATGAAAAAATTACAGGTAGAATTAAAATAGCTCTCATATAAATTAATGAATAAAAAAAATACTTGAGTTTTTAAAACATTGAAAAATTAATTTTATATCACAATTTACTGCAGTTGCATTTTTTAATAATCAGATCAACAATATTTACGTGAAGAAGATCAACTGCAACATACCGTTTCACAGTTCTTACATCGCATCCGTAGAAAGTCAGCTTCTGCTTAATTTAAACAAAATAATACCATATCCAAAAAAACGGAGTTCAAAGTGGATCAGCACTTCTGTACCTCACTCCAAATGGTTTACTGCAACATCAAAGTTATCATCGGCACACTATCATACTCAAAGTATATTAAACACAGTTCTCTTTTCACAAACAATGGAACTAATTCCAAATAATGCTGTGGTCATCGAAATCGCACCAGACGATGTTCTACACTACGTTTTGACAGACTTTTTACCTGTAAACGTGACAAACTTAGTATTGACACGACAAACCGAAAAAAATATTAATACAATTTTACAAGGAATTGGAAAGCTTTACAATTGCGGTTTACAGCCACAAATTGCCAATTTGTACCCATCAGTTGAATTTCCAGTTAGTCGAGGAACTCCTATGATTTCTCCATCAATCAGGTAAATATCATATATAGTAATAATTTAGATCATGTCTGTATAAAAAAAATATATAGATATATATATGTATAAATATATGGAATATATATTATTAATTATAAACATGCAATTAGATGCAATTATTGATTATATAATATAAAATAATATTTATTTAAAATAATATTTATTTATATTAAGATAATTGGCCCAGTAATCGTCATGTTATCCAAAACACTTGACTTTGCAATTTTTTTTCAGATTGAAAAGTGAATGACTGTTATTTTAGGTTACTTTAAATAATTTTTTTACGTTTTTAATGAATAAAAACGTCATTCTAAAATTCTTATACTTACTGCCATTGTTGAGAAAATCCTTTATAAAAATTAGAAAGCGCAAACGTACGAGTTATCGTCATAACGGTTTGCCCAATAATCGTCATGGATATGTCCCACAAATTATTACCATACGTGTTTAACGCATACGAATGATGGAATGATTCAGACACATAAATTTATACACATATATATATATAT